CCATACAGGTCTCTAGGTGCTCTATCCCGTGCACTTATAATTTTAGTTACTCCTTTTACTCTCTTTGAAGGTATTAATACCCTTTACGGGACCACATATTTAATCGTTCCCCTCTTTATTTTTTCGTCAGAAAATAGTGTATTAATGGTTTAATGTTTAGCCATTTTCTTAGTTCGCCATTATTTTTAGTGTATCCTTCCACACAGATATTCGTTTATATTGAGTAATCCCGTTCCTAGCGCTGAAAATGTGATTTAAAAAAAAGGGACATAATAGATGAATTCACAGGCGTGTATAAAGTAATAAAAAATACTGCAAAAAATAAAAAAATTAAAGAAAAAAATGTAAAGAACATTGGCATTTTTCTTCCTTACAATCCAGGTCTCAGTATTTTTTGTGATAGTTTATGGAAATAACATTTAATAAGAACATTTGGGATCTATTGGGAGTATCTTATCTCCTCATTTACAAGTTTTTTAATACTTAGTACCGAGGTATAGTGTAAATTTAATCTATGGTACTTGTACATGAAGGGAGGTAAGTCAAAAACCGTTAAAGTTTATAATTATTTTTACTTAGGTAATAAACTTACGTGTCCAGTTTTGTGGGAACATAAAAACAAAAATGCAATAAAATAAGTTTTTTTTAAAATTGCGCTCAATCTGTGGTTAACTCATTTAGAACAGCTTTTTAGTTATATCCCTTTTCCGCGTAGATTTACTATGTAAGCTGCAAATAAAATAGCTCGAAGTCTGGCGGGCTTGTTGGCAATTTGCTGGATGGTTTCCAGGTGGCTTCGGGTCTTGCGTCTACTGCTGTCTCTCCCAAAGGTGGTTATTAACGGTTTTCCATCACTCCAGGCACATGACGGGAGTGCGACTCTATTTACTTTAAATTTTTTCCAATCTTTCGTAGGGGCCATTAAAACACCAGGAGTGCTCACACTTGTGGGCCCTTGTGCCCCAACTCCTCTCACCGTTAGGGTTTTAAATTAGACAGCCTATAAAGATCGGCCGTATAATACCAGTGCTACAAATTATATAAAGACTAAAAAAAAATTTTTTTTTATAAATATAATCCTCTTTGTTTAAAGAGCAGCGAGCAATTATTGTTAACTTATTAGAGAGTTTAGAAGAGACGATTTAAAAAAGCAAAACTTAGTTTCAAATATGAAAGGAGTCCTTTGATAGTATAACTAACAAAAGTTCGACTTTAAAATTTTTTAACCACCATGGGCTTTCGAAGTAATTACTAAAAGCTAGCGAGATTTTAACTATTACAGAAGACAAGGCTATTTTTACGATGCAATAAGTAATAATAGCGTAATGGTGGTAGTAGTTGTAATTTAAATGAATAATGCCTATAATAGCGTTATTTATAAAAGTAAAACATATTTGAACAAAATTTTAATAATTATAATATATGTAGTGGTAAATATTAAATTATCACAAATAAAATGTAGCACATCTAAGAATAACAACAACTTTAAAGTTACTGGAGGGTTAGAGAAGCCCATCGTAGAGTAATGCTATTGCCGCTGTATCTAAAATAAGGGACAACCATTTATCGCAGCAGTATTTTTGGGAACTTATATAAGGGAAGCTCTCATCCATTACCTTTATTATTTAAACAAAAGAACCCCTTTTTGTGCAACTTTTGCAAACTAATGGCGTAAAAGCTCCGAGTCCAAAAAATATGAGCATTAAAACCAGGTTTCCACAATAACTGATGAATACCATGCTATTACAGCAGTCAAGCGTAATTAGGAGGCCTCACACTGCCCTTATTACCTGAGGACAAGCAATGCAAATTTATTCTTTGCAGAATTTTTTGTAAATTTAACAAATCCTAACAAATCCAAAGAATAGGAGGAGTTGCAAGCACAAGGCAGCACACTCTCTGAGTGGCAGGAATTCATAAAGAAGATACTGTTAATGGTAAATGAAAGAAGTATCCGTTACCACCGGTGCTGAGGCATATACTTAGAACCGAACGACAAAAGTTGTTCGAATTCAAGACTATTTTCCGTGTTCAATTTTAGTGGGAGGAACTACGAAAAAGCGCGGGTCAGTGTCATTGTTGCCACAGGTGACTGGATTGTAATGAGGCTCACACTGCTAACTAGCGAGCTTGAAAGTGTTACCACCATGGGATCGTTTCTAAGCCGATCTTTACACAGCGATGACATTCGATAGCAACTGTTGTCACTATCCCGACTCTTTCTTATACTTCCTGCCTCAAGACAAAACAGCTCAGCGTTCCCTGCAGCGAACGCTGATTAAGCAAACTCAGCAGGTCAGCTACAGAAAGAACTTCTGGGCAAAACCGATATATTGTGGCGACTGTTAGCCATGCTAATGACGAATCTCTCACCATGCTCAAGGTCGTGAAGGACTGATAATCCGTTTGTAATGCGTAAACACATTCGATTACTGTTTTAAAAGGCAAAGGACCTCCAAAATAAAAAACTAGAATCGCATGGGTTAATGCGTAGCAAAATTATATATCTGGGTCGTCAGGGAACGCAGCTCTCTCTAATATGCCTTTTTATTTTTGCAACGTCGCTATTAATAAATGAAGCATTCAACACTATTTTATAGCTCTGCCACAGCTTTGTAAGGGTTGAGGCTGTTGTTATCGCCCTCCACCTTAAGTAGGCAGGGACCTGTGACTATGACTGCAACTTCTAAGCCCTCCAGCATATCACTAACATTCATTCGATCTTGACGCTCTATTTATGCAAGCCCTTTAGCCATTCTTTGCAGAGGTTATAACTGGCAAGCAAACCATCCGGGTCAAAAATCAAACGGCTACATCCCTGAAGTTTACGCGGAAGCACACGGATAGGAACACAGTCTACACACGTAAAAAAACGCGAGAACATTGTACGTGGTTGACTTCAATGCTTTAGGGAGTATATGTCTTCAACGGCTAGTTAGGCCCTGGAAGAACTATCGAAACTTTCCCTTTTCTGTTCGGGATAAATGACGAAAAAATAACATTTAAAGAAATAATCCTGATCTTATTAGAATTCGTGCGAATTTATCTAATGGCTCGAGAAAGCGCTCTTGCGTTCTTTTCACTTTTGGAAATTCCTGATTTCCTAACACTGCTGTCTACTCGAGCGCGCAGTGACAGAAGCTCACAGCAACGCAACTACGCCAAGATTAGTCACTTCCCTCCTTTACCGCCTTCTCATTGACATAGTAGAAAAAACTGATGACACAATTACACAACTAATCAGACAACATAAAATAGAAATAAGTGCTGAAGGCTGGTAACAACGATCGCATCTTTTTCTGATATTGGTCAGGCGAGTCACAAATTGGGGGCATACATCTCGACCAGCACTAGCAGAACTCCCAGTGTTTGCCGTCTACCTTCTCAAACATCTATAACGCACCCCTCTAGCCGAGTTTTATCTCGGTTAATACTACTAATTTTTTTTGGAGTTGTCCACCACAGATGAGATTAAATTAATCATCAAAGGGCGGTGAAAGACATTAGCCCTGAAACCTTTACTAAAATTCTATTATCAGTGCAAAGGAACGTGGCGGTAGTCGCCATGTACCAAAACTCTGTAACCGGCATCAAGGCCTGTTACGCATTCTGCAGACTTTGGCAATCCCTCGGAGCTCACAGAACGCGCACAAGTTACCTAAACGGCCGGCTCTTCAGAGCACGATTGGGTGCTGCACTGTCGCCGCCTCTCTATCTAGCAGTGAGAGGCCGGCAAGGCTGTCTCCCTCACTGCTGCTATTTGCACTCTATAAGAGCGACATTCCTCATAAGCGGATCGCCTTTACGCCACTGATAAGTTGTTTTCGTCGTCAATTTTATCATATCACTATGTCAGGGCCTTTTACGTCATCTCGAGACGCATTTTAGCGGTGATATTGGTTTTCTCAAAAGTGACGCTTAGTGCTGCCGAGACCGTTGACTTTCAACGGCATGGAAAGTTGTGGTGGCCTCAAGTGGATAACTCGGAGGTCATTAAATTGGCATGGCGAGAAAGTAAGCTCCCGTTGCGCAGTAAGCGAAGGCTGTAGATGTTGTGTACTTAACCGAGCATAACATATGCATCTGTTCTCTGAATCTTCGACTTACAGGCAATATTGTCCTTTCTTCAAGTGAGGTAAATCGAACTGCGCCTTTTAAAAAACGTGCAATTATAAGGTTCACTTAGGGCTACAGGTTAAGTCGTTGGTCACAATCTTTAAAGGTAATGTTCTCGCCCTTTCCTAATGGATATAACTGGACACGCTACTCTTTTAATGGAGAGAGCACACTTACAAGACGTAGGCGACGCACGAGTCCCCCATCCGCGTGACGCACTCAGCATAACCATTGAATGCTAAGTTGAGAGTTTAAAGATTCAATTTCAAGATTGTTTTAATAGTACATGTAGACTAATTCTCTTTAAAAAAAACGTAAAGTATCTTTATTAAATAGCTTGAGTACCAGGAAAAGCCAGTTTAATCAATAATTAAACAGATTAAAGATTTTACACATGAAAAAAAAATTTTTTCGGATTGCTATTGATCAGTTTGCGCTTTAGGTCTATCAGAATCTTTGTTCGCAGGGGAGTTGCACACATAACCACCAGACCAGAAAAATGCTATAGTAGGCACCGTCGGGAATTGAACCGCGACCCTGAGATTGCGCGACAATGCTCAACCACTAAGCTGCGGTGACAACTTCATCCTCGGTGATAAATACATATACCTTTTGTTAAGGTCCGTATAGTTAAAGTGGGTTAATTCCCTTCAACTGCGTGTTAGCGGGATAGGTTTTTCTTTAACATAAGGCATTATACCACTACGGTATTATGATGTGGGTTTACCTGTTAGGAGAGAGGCATTACTATAGTACGAGAATAATGGTAGGCTAGAAATGGAAATATCAAAGGAGCAGGTTGCTATAGTAAAAATTCACATAGCGGAAAAAGCTGTGTAAAAAGTTAGTCTTTCGTTACTACTTTTTTGTGTGACCAGAGCTTGAAGAATTATACAAGAGAATTCTTAACTTTTACTAATAAATTTCTTAGAGTTCTTAATTTAAGTTTTTTAGTAATGGAGGAAAATTATTTTTGGGCCCCAAGTTTACTACCTATAAAAAGCAAAAATACTGATAAGCTTTTTTTTCTATTTCACGTGTGGGATTATAACGGGGAAAAGATGTTGATGTACTTGACCGATTGTGAGAACACTTGGAGTCAAGTAGGTAATTTATATTGTAGCTTCCTTTACCTTAACTATTTATTTCAATTTTAAAGCTTTATTAAGCTTTATTATTTTTTTTCTTCTCACTTTAGTGGGGTTCGACCATTTTAAAAAAAGTATGAACAGTTACAATTTGGAAAATGAGTTTTCTCTGGTAATTTAAATTTCTTTTTGAATTTTCAAAGTTTTTACGGGCGGTAAATTATGAATTTGTTATAGGATCGTTACCTTGATTGCATAAAAAGCGCCTTACATAGTTCAACTATTAATCAAATGAAGAAAAATCCATACTGGTGTGAACTTGTGAATGTTAACGCAACATCTATAGTAAATTTGTTAGTTTTATATTTAATAATCGTTACAATTATTCAAATTTAAGGTTATTCACTGTAAAATGCAGCTAACGGATAAAATGGCGGTTAAATCTTTAACATAGTTTTCAACACCTTTTGTTTTTATAGCTCGTAGAGTTGATTCTTTGTATCCACTTTTAGCTCAAATTTTGCGCTCTTCTTTTTGAACAAAAGCTTGAATCTTCTCAATCTTTTTTTTTAAAGTTTTTTTTGGATTGCTTTGAGTATACCAAAGATTTAAGGGTAAAAAGAAGAAATTATTTTACTACAAATGAATTTAACCGCGACCAATTTCTTATTTCTTATTAAAAAACAGCAAGACGTCATTACGCTACAGAAAGAGAACAAGACACTTTCACTTCAAAGGGACTTTGCATTAAGTGAACTTAAGAAGGCAGCCGAACTGAAGAAGATATTGGAGGAGTCCCTATACGCAAAGGTTTTTACGGTTGTTCTAGTTATCTAACGCTGGTGGCGCTTTATATAGTCTTATAATAGTTTATTATGCTTTTGAACGAAAAGAAAGCAAAAATTGTTCAACTTAAAGAACAAAGTAACTATTTGTTTTTTTTAAGTTAAAGTCAATATTTACCCATTTAAGTTGAAGATATGAAAAAAGTTCTGCGGGATGAGAAGCATAGAGAATACAAACCATCTGGTGAAGAACTTTGTACGTAACGCTGAGTTTTGGGCTTAGTTTGAGGAATATAAAATATAGACAAGTCTTTTGTCGCTAAATATTTTTTACTGTCTGGTGCATTAAGAAATATATATTATTCGTTTAAGTTTATTAATATATATTTGTTTGCAACCCATATAATAAAAAGAATTTTTTTACGTCGGCGAAATTTATGCAGCCAGTGTAGTGTAATAGGCCTTGCAAGCTTTAATTATTAGCTTGCGCCTATATTTAGTGGCGGGGCTCTCTTTGTAAAGTATAATCTTTATTATCGGTTACTGGGACTATTATTTACTTTTTTGGTTAAAAAATATGTTTTATCCTCTTTTTAGTGTTCTTAGTTAAAAGTTTTTTTTTATAAATGGAGCTTCACGAAATGCTGGAGAGGTGTCCCCACAAAAGGGGCAGGAGAAGGCTGCAGAAAGTATTGGATCTGGCCACCCTCTCTTTTACTTTGCATAGGTACTATGAAGGTGCCTTCTCGACTACGAGGAGGTGGCTCTGTTTTTTAGAAAAGCATCTTATCTATGAAAGCAACTTAATATTATATTTGTATAACAAGTCGGGACAACATTGAAGAGGAGATGCCTTCGACATAATAAATAATCGGTAAGCTTCATTTTTTAGAAAGCATTGTCGTTGTTAAACTAATTCGTTCTTATTTAAGGTATGAGAAGCTTAATTAGTTTGATTTGTGCTAAAAAAGGTTAGATTTTGATATTTGGTAAAACTAACAAGTAAAGTTAAAAGCTAGTCTTAAGTTGAGTGTAGAGTTGGTAACTTTTGCATTAAAATTTAATAAGGTTAACAATGAATAATCAAGATAAAAGCGAATAAACCAATTACAACTTAGATTCTTTACTCGGAAACTACCTTCCTTTATTAATAAAAGGCTTATTATTATTGCAGTGATGCAAAAATTTTTTGTAATTATTACAACTGAAAACCCGAATAGTAAGTTTTAATAAAAAAGTCGCTGCTATAGGCAGGCTCCTCCACCCTGATCACCAGCTACAATCCTTATAAGGAAATAATGATCGCTCTATTTAAAACATATAGAAAATTTATTAGTAATTGTAACACCTTGGTTCATGATGAAGTCAATATACCGAATTATCGAGCTTTCAACAGTTTAGTAGTGTACAAAAAAAAAAAAATTAAGCTTGAATAAATATAATCCTATTATATACAATTTAATATCGCATAAATGAGCCCTTCTGTCAGTCGATTAAAGTGCTTGATAAGCCGTTCGTTAATAGTGATAGTATCACGTTTAAAAACGGTGATTAAAGACTAAGCTGGAAGTCAATGTTTTTTAAAAAAAAGGTCTCAAAATAGACAAGGAAAATACGTAGGCAAAAGGAAGAAGCAAAACTAGACGAATAAAATTGATCATAATTTTTTTAGTAAGATATTATGAAGATGCTCGTTAATATTGAGCGTAGACTGTTTGATCTTGCAGATAATTAGGCTGTGAAAATAAAAATTTAAATCCGACACAAAACTTAAAATAAAAATAATAATTGCCAAATATAGAAAGCCCTACTATTGGATGAAAAATTTAATTTTTGTAAAACCTAAAAAACTTTTAATCAAAAGAAAAACAAGGAATCTCCTTGGCCGAGGCCTCGAGGTTATTTAGTCGGCAGTATCCGAAATTTTAGTATATAAAGAGAGGAGTAAACAACTAATAAACAGACCTTCTTTTTAGTAATTATTCTTTATTTAATTTTGTCAGGCTTAAACCCTATCAGTTGTGGCAGGTCACCTCGCAAAAAACTTTTAACATACGTATATAAGGGTATAACAAAACTGTTATTGTGCGCTTAAAGTACATCTCTGAGTCTTCGAAAGCTTAAGCCTTTCCAGGGTTCGTATGTAAGTTCTTGAATCCACTGGTGGTTAGGATGCCTACTGACACGTTCAAAAGAAACTGAAGTTACATTTCCGAAAAAGACTTCAAATCATTTCTAACCCAGGGCGTCATGTAACGTATCCGTTCCGTAAAAAATAAGATGCGCCTGTCATTAGTCGCAGAAGTCTGTTTTGCTGCGACTGGAGGGGTGCAATCGTCGACGGTTTTTCAAAATGTTCAAGTAACAGATAAGTAGGCCATAATAGGGCGCACGCCTACTTTATAAAGGTGCAGGTTATTACGCAGGGACATTGTGCTTTTAGCACAGCAGCGGGTAGAGTGCGTGAACCTGCTTCTTTGACCTTAGTCGTAAGGGCTCCACGTGTTACTCTCAAGTTAGTCGCTTATCGATGACGACCCTAAGTATTTGGCCTGCGAGGCGAATGGGACCTTACACTTTCGAGGGTTAGAAACGTAGGTAGCATTATGCGTCTTCTTGGGATGGGAACTGCTTAACTCTTCGTTCCATTTTTTTTTGTTACTCCCCACTGCCGACAACAGCTGGTAAATGTTTCCAAATAACGCTGCAGGTGTTGGGCAATAATGAGGGACATTTTGAGGGCGCGTAAACTGCAATGTCACCGTCATTGAGTGCAACGCGTGTGCGAGGGTTCGCAGGGAGTGGAATTTTTTGTATGTATAGCGGGGGCAAGGCAAAGAGCCCTGCGGAGCGCCTAACAAATGAGCACAAGTATAAAATTGTATACTAGTCAGTAAAATAAGAATAACAGGTTAAGTTAAAATATGTTATATGCCTGTTTAAAGTTAGGTCATGTAACTATGTTTGATCGTGGTGTGTAAATGTGTTGAGTTAAGTTAAAGGAACATGGCGACAGCGCAACCCCAACTCTCGCTCGATAGGTAAGTCCGCATAAAAACGACGCAAGTATGCGGTAGAGGGCAGACAGAGTCCCTAATGTGGGTAGTATGCGTAGGAGACCCTATGCCATACGGGTCAAAGACTTTTTTAACTCCGAAAAAGACGACGCGCGTGGGTTTCTTAAATTGAAGTTCGAGTTGACCACTTAACGAAGCACAAAATTTGTTGTGCGCCGAGCGCCCTCTTCGGGAATCCAAATTAGAATTCTGGAAGTGCTTTCCGTTTTTTACGAACTCATCCAGTTTGTATAGTAGAACCGTCTACATGGTTTTGCGCACCGCTAAAAGAAGCTAACGGGCGATAGTCTTGAGGGTCCGCTGGTGCCCGGGAGTCTTAGGTAGTATCACGGCAGTAGCCGTTTTCCATCGCGTTGGGAAAGAGTCAAGCGACATTGCAGAATTTCAAGACAGTAGAGATAGTTAATCGCCACAGGCGGCAGCTTTTTTAGCATGTCGTAATGCCGTTATGACTTGGTGCTTCCCGTTGTGGACGTGCAGAAACTATATCAATGATTTCATTAGGTGAGCTCGGTTTGGTAAGTCCGTCAACAATAATCGGAGGGTCCAGCAGTGTCTTGCCTTCGTTCTCAAAGGTTAACTAAGTTGGAGATGCGCATTGAACAGATAGATGGTCGGCAAAGAGCGTCGCCTTATTTCGTAGCTTTCCACACTATCACGCAATTATAAAGTGGAGGAGGTGGTGTGGAGCAACGGTTTTTAATACTTTTGACGAAGCGCAAAAAAGATGGCCGTCCTTCCTCTGCCGCTACAGACATATCCTGCAGTTTTGGCTCCCAGTGACTATTGCGAAAGGCGGTCAGCACTTTTTTTAATGTGTCGGTGAAGACGGTTTAGAATTAGTTTGTTGTCGGGATTTTGTGTAGCAGCGGCCAGGCGTATTAACCGTCGACGTTGACGAATAAGGCTCATTAAATAATCCGGTCGACGACCAGGGCGATACGCGAATTCGCGGCTAATTGTTGCGGCGACATGGCAGCTGTCAGTGCACTCAAAAATGTCAACTGCGTCTTCCAATAGAGAGAGAATCGGAAGAGGACATGAGCCGGGAGATAGCGATGCTTCAACCGTAGCTGTAAATTACGTCCAGTCGGTGAATGACTGTGTTCAGAGTTTCGCTGTAGCCTTGCTTTCGCCTAACTCTAATAAGACCTGGAAGACGGTCTGGTGAGAACTCATGGAGCTCTGCAATTGATACCGGCTGGTGTATGTCTTTAAAAAAGGGCTATGTCGCCCTTTTTTTCATGTGCGTCGGATGTTGAGGTACCAACATGTGAATGTTTTGTTGGTCTACGTATTTTTTAAAATTTTTCCGTTCGAATTTTCAACTGGACTGTTTTAAGCAGCGAGTTTGTAGTTAAAGTCACCAAAAAGAACGACGGGCAAGTTGCGTTGTAGCAGTTTATCCAGATCACTTGTAAGCAGCTCCGTGCCAGGTTTATAGACGGATATCACTTCAGTCGATCTCGTGTCAACCAAGTTGGGAGGAATCCCTACGGCCTCCACGCCTTTAGGTTTGGGAGTGCAATCGGGTGGTGTGGTAGATTTCACCGCACCAGAGTAGCTACTCCACCGTCACCTCTGTCAAGAAGGTCAAGACGGTTCTTTGTATAGTTGCAAAGAACAAGCCGAGGGCCTGCTTTTACGTATGTCCAGCTTAACAAACGCGACCTCAAGTCTTCACTCTGTAAGAGTTCAGCAGTTCTTCCTTTTAGCAGTGCACACCATTAGCATTCTACTTCAAGAGTTTGAGGTGGCGTAATGATTTACGATCTTCAGGTTGCTAACGCTCGAAGAAGTGATTCAAGAGCAGTTGCGGCTGGTGCGAGTATATCGCCAGTGGGACTCGGAGCAATAGTTCTTTGTTGTTTGGTTGCGGTGCATGAGGTTTTTGTCTAATCATTACTGGAAAAGAGATCGTCGGCGTTACTTATGGCGTTTTCGTGGGTCGTTGAAGTTCGGTGGCGGAGAAACGGTTTTTGGAGGATATCTTAAACACCCTCTGGAATTTGCATTATAGGCCTTGTCACAGTTAGTACGTTTTAGCGGCAGCTCTCGGGATTTCTCCCATTGAATCGTCAGATGGGTTTCCCCACACCTGACACAGGGTGGAGCGATGGCGCAGTTCTGTGTGTTGTGGACGAAGCGCTAACAGCAATGATCCTGTTCCATGCGGTCACTCTTACGAAGGGGTTCAAAGCTTATTTGCAGATGACATAATGATTGCAATGCGTGGGCTGCAAATCCTTTCTTCTTCGGCAATTGTACAAGAACGAGTGGCAGTGACCGCTTAATATGATTTTCGCTTATAGAACTGGTTGTAGGAAAATCGTGCAAGTGAAAGGAGCGAAAATCCCTAAGCTCGTAGGGCCGTTTCAATGTCGCCTATAAGTAGATCCGTGTAAAGGTCTCGAAGAACGATCTTGACGGGCTTGTCCTCGGGTATCTGGTAGCAGTAGTGTTACCAAGTGCGCTCTCGTAGTAGTGCTACTATTATGCGGTGGTCCTCGGCAGTGACGTCAATAGGCGAATGCTGTCGCGAAGAACACGGGCGGGGTGGACCTTTGCCCCCTGAGCTTTCAGGGTTTCCACAAACGCAGGCCACAGTTCTTGTCAACGAGAACGATAGAGGGGGAAATAAATTTTGTTGAGCTTCCCGGGAAAATATATATATACTAATATTGCGCCTTACTCAGGACACAAGATTAATCATCACTAAGAAAGTTATGTAATAGCAATTATTGTTCTATGATAGTTATTATCTAAATGTAAATCGTTCTTACGAGTAAACCCCTTGAAATCACTAATAGAAGGCCGTAGTGCCTGTTGCTGAGAAGCTGGGAAGTCCTCTTGGCGCCCAATTAAGTAGGCATACGAAATAGTTCCGTGGGCCTTCGCTGTTATATCTCGCCACAATTTGCACATCTCTCGGGTAGATCATATTTGGT